GGGAGGGGGCCGCCGGTCTCGTCCTCTTTCTCCTCCTTCCCTTCATCGGCGGGAGGAGGGCGGATGATGCGATAGGGCCTACCAGGCCCGAGGGCGCTGCCGGTCTCGTCCTCCTCTCCTCTCCTCTTCTCCTCCTCCCCTGGTCGGCGGGAGAGGGCGGATGGAACGATGGGGCCTACCGGGCCCGAAGGGGAGCTGCCGGATCGGCGGGAGGAAGGCGGGCGGCGCAATGGGGCCTACCAGGCCCGGGAGGGCGCCGCCGGCCTCGTCCTCCTCTCCTCTCCTCTTCTCCTCCTCCCCTGGTCGGCGGGAGGAGGGCAGATGGAACGCTGGGGAGGAGTAGGGTGGCACCCGGCGGCGGCGGCGGCCCGCCTCCTCTCGGCCTCCTGGCTGCCCGGCTGCCTGGCCGCCTCTCCTTCTAGTTGTCTCCTCCTCGCCAGAGTGCCAAGATGGCAACTGCAGCCACGGCAAGCTGCCCAGCGGTCCAGCTGCAGCGGTCCGGGCGGCAGCTGCCCCTCCCTTCGCGCCGCAGAAGGCCCCCAACGGGAGCCAAAGCCCCGGGTTGGAGTTTAGGTAAGCCGGATGGCCGACCAGGCCCAGGTAGGCAGGTTTTCTTGGGGAGGTAGCCGCGTTGTAATGGTGGCGGCGTCCCCTCGCCTACCTCCGCTCTTCTGGCTCTCTCTCTCTGGCTCCCACGCTCACCCAGCTCTCTCTCAGGTTCAGCCAGGTCGCAGTGGGTGCTGACCTCACACCCCCTTGTTTTGGTGGTCGGGGGGGGGGGATTCTCCAAGATTGCCCAAGATTGTTTCTTCTCTGTCAGCGCAGCTCAGCGTTGCTGCTGCTGACCGCCATACCGGAAACCGGAAAGAGTTCTCTGAAATGCATTGCTGAAGGCTTTCATGGCCGGAATCACTGGGTTGCTGTGAGTTTTCTGAACTGTATGGCCATGTTCCAGAAGCATTATCTCCTGTGAATTCACACTTGCCTCAAACAGACAAGAGCTCTTTCTCCCACCCTGGACATTCCACAGATATATAAACCCCACTTGCCTAGTTTCCAACAGACCTCACAACCTCTGAGGATGCCTGCCATAGATGTGGGCGAAACATCAGGAGAGAATGCTTCTGGAACAATGCCATACAGCCCAGAAAACTCACAGCAACCCAGTTTCTGCCAGAGTATTTGCTGATCCCGTTTGATGAGAATGATGCTTAAAGCTCGCAACTCTGTTCTGTAGCTTCTTACAGGCTGTTTCTGTTAGATATCGCCCATGTTGTTGCTGCCTTTTAGGAGGAAATCCTGTTCTGTTTTCTTTGGAGTGGACCTAATGTTTAGTTTGAGCCACTGGCTTTGCAGGACAGATGGTATGAATAATCAAAAACAAATGGGTCAGCTGTATTATATAATGTGCACATTCCAGCTGAGAATCGGGAGAAGAAAATCAGTTTGGTAGAATTTACAAGGTTAAGTAGGTTTCAACTGAACAGGTGCAATGGGTTAATAATAATAATAATAATAATAATAATAATAATAATAATAATAATAATAATTTATTTATACCCCGCCACCATCTCCCCAAGGGACTCGGAGTGGCTTGGGGAGATGGTGGCGGGAGCAGCGGTTCAAAGTTAAACCCTTATGCCAGCAGGACTGCTGACTGAAAGGTTGGCAGTTCGAATCCAGGGAGTGGGGTGAGTTCCTGTCTGTTGGCTCTAGATTCTCATGCAAGGACATGAGAGAAGCTTCCCATAGGATGGCAACACTTCCAGGTGTCCCCTGGGCAACGTCCTTGCAGACAGCCAATTTTCTCACACCAGAAGTGACTTGCAATTTCTCAAATCGCTCCTGATACGAAAAAAAACCTGAACAGAATTGTAGATTTCGATATGGGAAGCCCATGTACCTTTGGGTATTCTCTCAACGTATTGTCGGCCACAACATTATTATGAAAATAGTAGAATTGTAAATCATTAGACAGTTGAACCTCCATTTCTATGTATACAAACTTGTATTTTTTTAGCTTACTGTTTGGTTATTCATTCCACTATTTCAAGTTCATAAACTGTGTGGTTTAACTGTTAAGCTAAGTGGGGGCTTCAGAGCATTTCATTTTGTGTGGAGGGTATTTGTTTGTGTCAATCCTTTGAATATACCTTTCTGTTAAGGTTGAAATAACTTTTTCAAAGGTTGGAAATAATCTTCCTTTCTTCAAGGCTTTCTCTTTTTTTCTAGCACCAACATTGAAAGAATGTCACATCTTTCTGACATGTATTAACCTCCTCCGCATTTTCTCTGAGTTGGATTATTAGCCTTTAAAAATTGCTTATGTTCTGTATCTGTACAGTCTTGGTCCTCCCCCATTATGGCATTTACCACCTACATACAGTTAAGGACATCATATAAAAATTGTGGTTTTTTTCTGTAACTAGTAAACAAGCTATTGTTGGTATTTATATTTATGTATTTTTCTCTGTTTTGTTGAGCTGTAGCAGTCTAATGTCTGAAGGAAAGGCTTGTCCAGTAAAACTCTCTCCCCCTTTCTCTTTTAGTCTCTCTGCGCTGGACCAAACTGCCCCCCGTATGGACAAATAGCAGGGACCATGTGAGGGAAGTTCCTTACATGAGATATGGACATTCTGCAGTGCTCATTGAGGATACCATCTACATCTGGGGAGGTCGCAATGATACTGAGGGAGCCTGCAATGTATTATACGCTTTCGATGTCAGTAAGTGTCATCTGCAAGAGCCAAGGTGGTATAGACGTTTGAGTGTTGGATTTCAGACACTAGGAGACCAGAGTTCGAATTCCTGCTCAGCCATGAAAACATATTGAATGACATTGGACAAGTCACTCTCTCAGCTTCAGCAGAAGTCAAGGAAGACCCCCCTCTCAACAAATTCTGGGGGGGGGGGGGACCCTTGAGATAGAATTGCCTAAGTCAGAAGTGACTCAAAGACACACAACAAATGTTGTCTTGTTGCCACAACACCCAGTATCACATAATTCAGAATTTCTGTTGTACTAAAAAGTCACAGTCTGCCTCCATGTTTTATCTGGGAAGATATTGACCATAGAACCACAGTGAAGGACCATAAAATATATAGAGAGAGCATATTTTTGGTCACATATTGCGAAGGGCTTGCCCCAATTCAAAGAAAAAGGGGTTTTCAGGAGAGAGAAGTTACGATTTATTATTTTTTTTTAATGGAGCCACCAATTCGTAATGTGAGGTAATTTTGGGAGATTGGGAACACTGAACGCCGAATCAATGGAGATGAGGCAGTCTTAAAATCAAAGAGAACAAGTTTATTTTGAAACAAAGCGTATGGTTGTAGTTTGGTGATAAACTTGGAAGATACTTGGAGAACGTTACATATAACTTGGTTGCGATACAGTACAGACTTCTGATGTTACAACTTATAAATAACTTTTGCTGTGGTGAAGCACTTTATTAAACAATGTTTCCTGAGGTGAATAGTCTTCCTGTTTGATCCTTCCGTGATCAAACCTCAGATCTCTAGTTCACTTTTAACTAGTGATCTAAACAAGCTTCTATTAGTCTTCTCTAACTAATGAAACTAATAAGGTTTCCCCTTCAGCCTTCCTAAACTGAAGAAACTTCTGACTATTCACAAACACTGCTTCTCCACTTCCCACTCTCTCTCTCTCAACACTTCATTCCTCTGAGCCTAAACCCCGACTCTTCATTCCTCTGAGCCTAAACCCTGACTCTTCATTCCTCTGAGCCTAAACCCTGACTCTTCATTCCTCTGAGCCTAAACCCTGACTGACTTTAACTGTCGCTTTTCAACACTCTCCTCTCTAAGCTCCTCCCACTTCTCTACAGCATCGTTTCCATGGTAACACACTCCTCACAGCTAGGCCGCTCCAGCATTAGGGCAACCAGTGCAAACACCAATACAGTTATAATCTTATCATTTACAATCAACTTCTGTACACATATAAGTCAGCAGAAGCAGCAGCAGCAAATACTATAATCTGAAGTTATTTAAATCTGCAGATATTGAACCTGCAAATGCAGATGGACAACCATAGACAGTTTCAAAGTGGTCAATTTGAGAATGTGTGCATTCCAGGGTTTGTTGGGTAGGTAAAGGTTTTCCCCTTACTAATACAGTATTGATAAAAATAGGAATGAGATGTGGATGGGAGATGGGATTGCATGCATCAAAGAGATGCTGGTGAGGAAAGATTCATTAGTAGTTCAGTAGGGAGACTTACCGAATTACCATATTTTTAATTTTCTACCCAACAAACCCTGGAATGCACACATTCTCAGATTTGCCACTTTGAAGCTGTCTATTGTTATCCATCTGCATTTGCAGGTTCAATATTTGAAGGTTTAAATATGGGTGTTCAGGATGTGATTATGGCCTTTGAACTCATAAAATAGGGTAAAAAGTCAAAAACTGGAAAACAGAGGAGGGAGAAAGGTTTGATCTGGCAGATAGGCCTGTTGGAAAAAAGCTTGGTTGTGTGTGTGTGTGTGTGTGTGTGTGTGTGTGTGTGTGTGTGTATATATATATATGGCAAAATAGTGTAATGGCACCAGAGAGGGAGGACGTAAAAAGGCAGAAACTTGAATCAGTATTCCTTTGGTTGAGGCACCTTTGGAGAAATCCCTATTTTTGAGTTCGTTGTAATTTAAAAGGTAACTTTTCTAATCAATGTCCTGATGTTGTTGTACTGCAGCTCCCATCAGCTCCAAGCTAGCACCTCCAGTGTTGATGATGGGGTTTGTAGTCCAACAACATATGAAGAGCCACAAATTGCCAACCCTTTATCTAACTGGAATTGATTCCGTTGACTTTTTGATATATTTGATATATATTTGATATATTCAATATATTTATGTTACTGTAGTGAGCAAACAGGGGCCTCCTGGTGGCACAACAGGTTAAACTGCTGAGCTGCTGAAGTTTCTGACTGAACAGTCGGCGTTTCAACTTTGGGGAGTGGGGTGAGCTCCCACTATTAGCCCCAGCTTCTGCCAACCTGTCAGTTCAAAAACATGCAAATGTGAGCAAATCAATACGTACCGCTTCTGCGGGAAGGTAATGGCACTCCATGCAGTCATGCTAGCCACATGACCTTGGAGGTGTCCATGGACAACACTGGCTCTTCAGCTTAGAAATGGAGATGAGCACTACCCCCCGGAGTAGGACACGACTAAACTTCATGTCAGGGGAAACCTTTACCTTAAGTTACAGCAAGCAGACATATATAGAGCTTCTGCTGTATTCATGTTTAGACATAGGACTGTTTACTCAAGCATTCCCTGGAAATTAGTCATAATCAGGAAGAAGATAAGAGCACTAATAATGTTCAGCAAACCTGGCCAGCACTGAGAGATGGAACAAAGTCTGCTATGCTTGGGCTCTCTTCCAAACCTGGTTGGTTTCTTTCAGCACATTTGCTTTCTCAGTATCTTGAAGCTCATTTCAGCTATTGATATGCACAGAATTCTGTTACATAAGGTGTCAGCAGAGACCTGCCAATTTGGTTTTGCATTTGCAACTTATAAGTGAATAGTGGCTGAAAACTGCACGGGAAGAAAGAACAAAACTCAAACACAGGAGAACTCCAGACAAGAAACAATCAGGAACAGCTAATCACCTCTCAACAAAGGATTCCCCCAAGCAGTGACAAACCACACCTAAAAACTGTCAGGCCATCAAATGCTAATAAAGGTGGCCAATCAAAACATTCACACCTAGCTCCAACCTCTCCCACCCTGGACTTTCCACAGATATATAAACCCAATTTTCCTAGTTTCCAACAGAGCTTACAACCTCTGAGGATGCCTGCCATAGCTGCAGGCGAAACATCAGGAGGGAATGCTTCTAGAACATTGCCATACAGCCTGAAAAACCTACAACAGTTGTCCTGCAGAGTCGCCAGCAGCCTTGCGTTCCCTTGCTTGGGCAATTTTGTCCTGTCCCTGGAAAGCAAGCCACGCTGATCTTCCCACGCTAAAGGGAAAAGATAGAAGCCCTCTGGCATGAGTCATTTCAGACTAGACAAAACCCCGAGGCTGTTCTACAGGCCATTGTCCTTTACTGCCTTGCAGATGTCATCTAGATTAGATGTCACGGCTCGCTTCAGTCTCTGGTTTCATGTGTTGCTCTTGGCCGAGGACTTTGGGGATAACACATGAGTAGATTTAGAAATCCAGGCATGGCAAAAATCCCAGTGGGAGCAAGGCTCACTTTCCCTTTGTGCTAATCATCTCCCTAGAGTTTATGTTGACCTTGCACTGGGCGAAAGTACAGCTCCAGGTTGCCTGCAGTGAATGGCTCTGAATGAAAGGGAGGTGGCAAGATATTGGGTGGATTTTGAACAGCCCTCTCCTTTGCTACTTTATAGCATAAGCAATTACCGTATACACTTGAGTATAAGCCGACCCGAATATAAGCTGAGGCACCTAATTTTACCACAATAAACTGGGAAAATGTATTAACTCAAGTATAAGCCAAGGGTGGGAAATGCAGCAGATACCTGTAAATTTCAAAATAAAAATTGATATCAATACAGTTACATTAACTGAGGCATCAGAAGGTTAAATGTTTTCGACTATTTACATAAAACTGTAATTTAGGATAAGACTGTCCAACTCTGATTACTGTATATAGTCGAGTATAAGCCTAGTTTTTCAGTCCTTTTTTTAGGACTGAAAAAGTCTTCCCCGGCTTATACTCGAATCAATGTTATTTATTATTTTACTTTGTTGTTGTTATTATTATTACATTTATTATTTTATTATTGTTATTATTACATTTATTATTTTACTCTATTATTGTTATTGTTACATTTATTATTTTACTGTATCGTTATTATTACATTCCATTATTTTACTCTATTCTTCTTCTTCTTATTATTATTATTATTTCACTCTATTTATTATTATTGGAGGACATGTAAGCATATTTACATTGAAGAAGGTTAGAATAATGGTTTAATCAGAGTTGGACAGTGTTATCTTGAATTACAGTTTTATGTAAATATTCAAAAACATTTAACCTACGGATGCCTAAATTAATATAATTTTATTGTTATCTATTTTTATTTTGAAATTTACCAGTAGCTGCTACATTTCCCACCCTCGGCTTATATTTGAGTCAATCCATTTTCCCAGTTTTTTGTAGTAAAATTAGGTGCCTCGACTTATATTGGAGTCGGCTTATACTCAAGTATATACGGTAAATCATTCTAACCTTCAGTGTAAATGTGCTTACGTATCTTCCCAATAATAATAGAGTAAAATAATGTAATAAAAATAACAGAGTAAAAAAAAATCTATTAATAGAGTAAAATAATACATGTAATAATAATAAATAGAATAAAATAATAAATGTAATTAAAATAATAAATGTAATAATAATAACCCAGTAAAATATTAAATAACATTAACTCGAGTATAAGCCGAGGTGGGCTTTTTCAGCCTTAAAAGGGGGCTGACAAACCCAGCTTATACTCGAGTATATATGGTAAATTGGTGGCTAATGGTGATTACAGAATCTCCTCTTCCTCCCAAGAATTATCTGTATTGTTTTCCTGATGGTCTTCCAGAACATATGCTGCTGACTTTTGGATAATTGTATTGTCCTTCATGAAGAACATTTTTCATAGTCTTTAAAAAAAAATCCCCTGCCTTTTGATATCTTTCGAAAGGGTTGTAAGCATTTCTTTCAGCTTCAGTTTGGAGTAGTAATATAGGCTGGGGTGAAAATGAACCCACATGAAATGTGATGAGTGGCTTTGGGGAGTTTTTCAAAATCGTGAAGCAGACTCTAGAAACATTAAATTTTTTGAACGCACCTCTTAGACTCCCCCGGTCAACATTGCCACAAGCCTTGCTTTTGGTAGCACATTCTAGGAAGTTAAATCCAAAGGTAGCTTGCAACCATCCACTAATCCATTTGTCTTGACTGGAACATTATGAAGTACCAGCTCCTTACAAGGATAGATGTGCATTGTATTTTTAGAATGATTTTTCCCTAGGGTATTCCCTTTGCTATTCATTCCTGAGCATGCCATTCTGGATCTACTAGTAACAGCTTATCTCTCTCTCTTTTGTTTCTTGCCTATTAGGCACGCACAAATGGTTTACACCAAAAGTTTCTGGAATGGTTCCAGGAGCAAGGGATGGACATTCAGCTTGTGTCTTGGAGAAGAGCATGTACATTTTTGGAGGCTACGAACAATTAGTAAGCTTTTCTGTTTTGTGTTTGAGCTGCTTGGAAAATGCTGCTTTCCATTCTTCTGTATTTGATCTCTTTCTTGCCCCGCCCCGCCCCGCCGACACCGACAACCAAATTTACCACCTTTGCACCAAGATGTTCCTGTTCAAAGACACTAAGAGTTCTAGGTGATTCATGCTGATAATTATATCAAACTTTCATCATAGTAAGATGTAGAATAGTGTTTCTCAACCTAGGGGTCGGGACCACTGGGGGGATCACGAGGGAGTGTCAATCAGAGGGGTCGCCAAAGACAAATCAGAAAACACAGTATTTTCTGTTGGTCATGGGGGGTTCTGTGTGAAAAGTTTGGCCCAATTCTATCATTGGTGGGGTTCAGAATGCTCTTTGATTGTAGGTGAACTATCAATCCCAGCAACTATAACTCCCAAATGTCAAAGTCTATTTTCCCTAAACTCCATTAGTGTTCACATTTGGGCATATTGAGTATTCGTGCCAAGTTTGATCCAGATCCATCATTCTTTGAGTCCAGAGTGCTCTCTGGATATGGGTGAACTACAACTCCAAAACTCAAGGTCAATGCTCACCAAACCCTTCCAGTATTTTCTGTTGGTCATGGGAGTTCTGTTTGCCAAGTTTGGTTCAATTCCATCATTGGTGGAGCTCAGAATGCTCTTTGATTGTAGGTGAACTATAAATCCCAGCAACTTCAACTCCCAAATAACAAAATCAATCCCCCTCAACCCCACCAGAATTCATATTTGGGTAATTTTGCCAAATTTGGTCCAGTGAATGAAAATAGATCCTGCATATCAGATATTTACATTACGATTCATAACAGTAGCAAAATGACAGTTATGAAGTAGAAACAAAAATGTTATGGTTGGGGGTCACCACAAGATGAGGAACTGTATTAAGGCATCAAGGAATTAGTAAGGTTGAGAAACAGTGATGTAGAATCAGAGCTGGAAAACACTACAAGTCCAACCCCCTGACATGCAGCAGTATACAATCAAAGCACCCCTCAAAGATGGCCATCCAGCCTCTTAAAATATCAGAGAAGGAGATTCCACCATACTTGGAGGCAGGAAGTTGTTTCTAATGTTTAGGTTCAATCGCTCTTCTTGTAAGTCCCATGGAAATCAGTGAAATTTAACTTTGAAGATAACACACATGGGCTGATTTAAATAGCTGATACACTTGTTCCTCTTCCACCTTTGTCAGCAAGGCAAGTGAGGAATTTGTTGGACCTGATTTTTGTGGCAGAGTTTTACTTCCAACAAATATTTGGATAGTTGAAACTACTCAGTACTGCTACATCTCTCCTCTCTAAATAGACTATTTCCCCTAGCTGCTTATTCCAAGTTTTTCCCCCCTCTTACTGTTGGGTTCTTGCATTATGCACCCATTTTGAATATTATCTCCAGGACTTGAACTCCTGCCCTCAAGAATAATGTCTTCCTCCTTCACATAGCTCAGTTTATATTTATGAGACACTTTGCTGTTAGGTGCAACCCATTACTTGCAAGTCCATCCTGGTGAAACAAGCACATTCTCCTCTATCAGGGCACCCCTGGACCAGCAACAAGGATGATCACCATCTGGACTCAGCCTGCATCAAGGTCCAACATTAGGCTGAGATAATAAAATGTTTATACCTTGCCAAATCAGAAAAGGCTACGTGCAGAACAAAGTCCTAATTAAACACACCTGTTTTCCATCAACCAGCTGCTGGACTAAGGTATCTTTCCTCATTCCAAGGCCCTACCATCCCAATTAGTTCTTAACAATGAAAGTACGCAGATGAAAAAACCCTTCCCTTAAAGAAGACTTAATTCCTTTAGGGCAGTGTTCTTAACCGTCTTAATGCTGCGACCCCTTAATACTGTTCCTCATGTTGTGGTGACCCCCCCAACCATAAAATTATTTTCATTGCTATTGTCATTTTGCTACTGTTATTAATCGTAATGTAAATATCTATTATGCAGGATGCATTTTCATTCACTGGACCAAATTTGGCATAAATACGCCCAAATTTGAATACTGGTGGGATTGGACGGGGGATTGATTTTGTCATTTGGGAGTTGTAGTTTCTGGGATTTATAGTTCAGCTACAATCAAAGAACAGTGATGGATCTGGACCAAACTTGGCACGAATCCTCAACATGCCCAAATGTGAATACTAGTGGAGTTTGGGGAAAATAGACCTTGACATTTGGGAGTTGTAGTTGCTGGGATTTATAGTTCACCTACAATCAAAGAGCATTCTGAACCCCACCAATGAGAGAATTGGGCCAAACTTCCCACAGAACCCTCATGCCTTGAAGGGACTCTCTGGCGCAAACCTCCCTACCACCTCACACACTCTCCCTCACCCGCATATGTGCATCATGCTACCATACGCCAAACACACCTGCTGTCCCCTCCCTGCATGGAGTACCACAGCCTTCTGTTTCCAAAAAGGAAGAAAAGGACAGATGGAGAGATCTTCAGCTTTCTCTGCCAAACGAGTTCCTAAGACCATTAGGAATATGTTTTCTGATTGTCTTTTGCGACCCCTCCGAAACCCCTTTGTGATTCCCCTAAGGGGTCCTGACCCCCCAGGTTGAGAAATGCTGATTTCAGGCTTTCCAGGGAGCATAGACAGAGAAGAAACAATGAGCATAGGAAAATGGAACAACTGCGCACACCACGTGGCTTGCCTTCTTGAGATAACAATGGTTTTTCACAAATCTCCCTTCCATATGCAGTGCCTTGCAGTGTCATTGGTTCCCATATGGGCCAAAAGTAAGAGGTAACAGTCTCTGTCTTGTTAATCTCTCTGTTACATCATGGATTTTTGCCCCAGGATGATAGCACAGCACGCGAAATCTCCTGTCAGGCCCACCAACCACTGCTTCTGTTCCCCTCAATAGGGAGTCCCTTACCACTACAATAAGTCTTTCAAACTTGAGTTGAGACCTGTGTCTTAAAGTCTAGACATATTTTAGAGTTCAGTGCTTCTAATATTTCTTTGTTCACCTCAGCAAATTGTTGTGCCAGTGCGTATGTTGGCCTGTTAACATTTCAAGCATCATTGCTTTTATTGTCAAACTTGTTGGCCAGTGGTGTCTCTCCTGTCATCCGTGCTGTACAAATATTAGGTTACAATTGTAGGTATACATTATTGTGTCATAAACTTCTAAAGAGTTGATTTGTATCAAGAGGATAAATGGATGTTAATTCACACATAAAAACAGTCCTCAAAGGAGATGTTAAAGGTAAAGTACTTCAGTAGTGTGTAATGTCAGATGATTATCCAATATTTTCTTAACTGTCACCAGAAAGAGATTTCACAGTGTTCTAAGCAGTCCTAATGTCATTTTTAACATGTACAGAATGAGTTGCTGTGAGTTTTCTGGGCTGTATGGCTTTGTTCCAGAAGCATTCTCTCCCAACGTTTCACCCACATCTATGGCAGGCATCCTCAGAGGTTGTGAGGTCTGTTGGAAACTAGGCAAGTGAGGTTTATCTATCTGAAATGTCCAGAGTGGGAGAAATAACTCTTGTCTGCTTGAGGCAAGTGTGAATGTTGCAATTGGCCACTTTGATTTAATGGCCCTGCAGCTTCAAAGCCTGGCTAGTTGCCTGGAGGAATCCTTTGTTGGGAAGTGTTAGCTGGCCCTGATTGATTTTTGTCTAGAATTCCCCTGTTTTTTAGTGTTGCTCTTTATATATTGTCCTGATTTTAGAGTTTTTTTAGTTCTGGTACCTAGATTTTGTTTTAGGTGGTTAGTATCTATAAGAATCAGGGCCAGCTAACACCGCCCAACAAAGGATCCTTCCAGACAGCAACCAGACAGGCTTTGAAGCTGCAAGGACAATAAATGCAAATCAAGGTGGCTATGAAAATGAACAATATCTGGCTACCAGTATTTAAAAAAACTAAAATCATAAAGAACAAAACTCAGAAAACAGTGATTCCAGACATCACAATCAGGGCCAGTTAATAGCTCCCAGCAAAGGATTCCCCCAGGCAGGAAGCAGCCAGGCTTTGAAGCTGCAAGGCCATTCAATGCTAATCAAGCTGGCCAATTGCAACATTCACACTTGCCTCCAACAGACAAGAGTTCTTTCTCTCACTCTGGACATTATTCCACAGATATATAAACCTCACTTGCCTCGTTTCCAACAGACCTCACAACCTCTGAGGATGCCTGCCATAGATGTGGGCAAAATGTCAGGAGGGAATGCTTCTGGAACATGTCCATACAGCCCGGAAAACTCACAGCAACCAAGTGATTTTGGCTATGAAAGCCTTTGACAACACAATGTATAGAATACTTAACTATTTTTAATTTTTTTTTAAAAAAACAGATCAACATCTGTTTTGCCATTGGGGAACTGAGTTACTTGAAACCATCAATGTCCAAAGGCCTTCACTTGTTTTTCAATGACAGCATCATGTGCTGGATGAGACCATTTTCAGTTCATCTATGACACTGATTGATGCCAGGGAGGCAGGATACTGAAGCGAAATAGGATACGGTTGAAGGATTAGTGGAACAAAGCACAAATATTCATTCATCTCTAACTTTCTCTTTGATAGATCCATATTCAACAGATCTAGCCAAATTGTATATTTTACAGGTTGTTGCTAATTGATTATTCCTCTCAGAATATTTTGCTTCAGGCTCCTCCGTTCTTACTTACTGACATTTAACAACTCTTGCTGAGGTTAATGAAGGTAACTTACACTCAGCACCTATTTAAAAAAGGAAAAAAGCCAGGCACTCAGAAGGAGTGGTTATTGCTGCAAATGATGACTTTAATCTCATTGCTTCGTTTTCGTGTCTATAAAACGATGTTTTATGATGGCAGGTAACTATAGCAAAACCCGCAGGGCTCATAATTTTGTATTCGGTGTCTAGTTTGAATCGTGTGCACTGCGATGAGGAAGTATTATTGAACAGCTGCTTTGCTTTCTGAAACACATCGTTCAGTTCCCTAAATATATATTATTTCCAATTGGAAATCCTGCAGAATTAAATTTTATAGAGTTTACACCTCTGGAGAGCAAGTTAGCCGAGGTCTCCTTCAGGAACTCTAGATTCAATTAGCCTTCCTACTTTTGGCTTATCTGTTCGCTTAATAATTCCTCTTTCTTACAGGCTGATTGCTTTTCAAATGATATTCACAAATTGGATAGCAGCAACATGGTGTGGAGTCTGATCTGCACAAAGGTCAGTTGCACAAAGGTATCGGTGTGTGTGTATTTCTGTCCGGCGTGTGCCCTTGTTTCCTATTTAACGATTGTCTGCCTTGGTTTGAAGCCAAGCAGACCTTGAACACCCTTACTCTTAAAATAGCTTCCATTCCCTGAATGGACTGACTTAACTAGAGTTTCCTATTCCAGGGCACACCGGCTCGCTGGAGAGACTTCCACTCGGCCACTATAATTGGGACAAAGATGTATGTGTTTGGGGGAAGAGCAGATCGCTTTGGGCCATTCCACTCCAACAATGAGATCTACTGTAACCGAATCAAAGTCTTTGACACAGACACAAACTCTTGGCTGGACTCCCCTCCTACTCCCCTTCTCCCCGAAGGCAGAAGGAGCCATTCAGCATGTAAGCCAGCATAACACTTCAGAGAGCACGAAAGGTTTGGGGTCTGGATCGGGCAGGATTCTTCCAAAGGTCATCCATTGCCCTGCTTTCTTGGAGAAAGCAGGCAGCACTGAGCTGAGATTTGGCAAATGTGGTTCGCTTGTGTCTCTTTTTCCATGTGCTTTTCCATTTCTACTAAAAACTTCCATGAGGGAGTTATCAAAAGATCTATTATGGGAAAATGGGGTGAGGAGAAAGGATGGGGAACAAGAACTACAAGTCAGTTGTTTATTTTTATTTATTTATTTATTTACAGCATTTATATACCGCTTTTATCACCCCGAGGGGGACATAGATAATGGCAAAAATTCAATGCCTTACAACTACAACAGTAAAATCACACTTTAAACATAAATCATATTAAAAAACATAAAACAATCCCATTAGTCGAATCACCATTCCAGTCCTTGTCCCACTAAAAGCTGCAAACATCTATTTTCCGAAGGCCTAGTCCCAGAACCATGATTTAAATTTTCTTCTAAAGGTCAGGAGAGAGGGAGCAGATCTTACCTCCTTTGGGAGTGTGTTCCACAGGCAGGGGGCCACAGCCAAGAAGGCCCTGCTCCTCGTCATTGCCAGCCGCATTTGTGCTGTTGACGGGAGCGAGAGCAGGGCCTCACCGGATGATCTTGTTGATTGCCTTCTCTCCATCATCAGCTTGGGATGGATCTTGTTGACAGACCTTGGTTTGCTTTGAATCCAGAAGTAGCTCCAATCTTTTCTTCCAAGTCGAGTAATTAGTCTCCTTTTCTGCGAGTTTTGGAAGGTTCAGGAAGAACTCTTGCCTCCTTTCCATTCTTTGCATCTTTCCAAAAATCCAAAAAAACCCTCCAAAAACCTTTTTTAAAAAGCCTCTCTGCTCTTTTCAGCCTTCCTATTTCTCTTTCAAGCTCTTTCTTTCAGCACACATAGTCTAGGCACACAGATTGGGCACTTAGACTGGGCCCGTAAACCCTTTTGTTAGGGAAAACTACACTAAAATAAAGCAGAGCATCCAAAAACAAACAGAATACAAAAGTTGAGCATCCACTCATTAGCAAGCAAAGTCTGAAGTGTCCTGTGATGTGTGTAAAGAATTCAGAGCTTAGGAGGCAAACATGAAGAGTCCAATCTTAAAAATCACAAAAGGTTTATTTATATTAATAAGAAATAAGTGCGGATAAGCTCCCTCTGTCAGCTCCGGCTCCCCATGCAGGGACATGAGATAATCCTTTCACAAGGATGTTAAAACATCAAAATATCCAGGTGTCTCCTGGGCAACATCCTTGCAGACATCCAATTCTCTCACACCAGAAGCGACTTGCAGTTTCTCAACTTGCTCCTGATACAAAGAAAACCCCTGCATTTCTTAATAATCAAGAACTGGGTCTGAGCTACTCGAACACCCATCTCTTCTAAGGTTTCAAAGAGAGGGACAAACCACTAATCACTACATCTCTCCTGATACACAAACAGAGAGAGATCTCAAAGCACACAACACATCCTCTCCATACTAAAGTGTAAGAAAGTAAAAGTCATATTCGAAAAGGCTTACAGTAGAAAAGCATCCATTTTGAACTATCAGAATGAGAGCAGAGACAGAGAGGAGAGAAGAAATAGATATATTCCCAAATGTCATACAGGAGACACGGGGTAAAGGAAACCCTTAGTCTATTCAAAAGTAACTAAACTGTTCCTCATTGAGGACCTGAGACCTGGGCAGTGTGGGGTTGAATCCCAACACTGTTCTCCTTTTTCTGAAATGGTTTATAATGTGAAGCTAGTGAACAGTCTCTATTTTGAAGGTGGGATACTCCTATTCAGTAAAAACCAATATCCCACTGAACTATAATCTGACATGTTTCTCTTTCCTATAGTTGGCTACAATGGAGAACTGTATATATTTGGTGGCTACAATGCACGTCTGAACAGACATTTCCACGACCTTTGGAAATTTGACCCAGGTATATATGCTGAAACACCTTTTTATCACTTATTTTTCTATAATCTCAGAGGGCCCTTCCAGACAGACCCTATATCCCATGATCTGATCCCAGGTTTTCTGTTTATCCCAGATTATCTGGCAGTGCGGACTCATATAATCCAGTTTAAAGCAGAAAAACTGGGATCAAATCCTGGGATACAGGGCCTGTCTGGAAGAGAATATCTATTCAGAGCTGCGGTTATGTGCTGAATATTTTTCACTTAGGTCACTAAAATACTCGGAGAGCTTCTACTGGAGAGGTCATATGGAGGACCAATTTGCATGTTTAGCTGCAGTTGTAATTTGCCATTATGCTTTGAGGCTCAGTCCACAAAAGGTCATTTTCTGCTGCCAAGAAGTCATCAACATAAATAGTAGATTCTCAGAAAGTTCTAGGAATTCTTGCAGTTGCCTGGAGCATGGATCAGAAGTTGTGCAATGAATTCAGGTTGCCTTGACAGGTTGCAGCCTAGGGCTTCATGAATTTATAGGTTGTCACTGTGGGTTCTTATAGATTCTGCCTCTGATAACAGCAATATTATAGCCTGGCTTGGGAGCATGTGGTATCTGTAGAGACCACAGAGTTGACCATACAGCCACCCAGAGCTGATTTATGGTTTGTTCCTTTGATGGATCAGATCACTCTTAAATGATAGTGTAACTGTATGGATGTTAACTGATTGCTTGAGGAGGAAATGTGTACAGAATTCTAGACTTATTCAGCAACAGCTGCAAAATCGGTATTGCAGCCATTTACTGTATGCGTTTAAGCCAACACAAATATAAGCCAAGGCACCTAATTTTTACCCCAAAAAACTGGGGAAACCTATTGACTTGAGTGTAAGTCGAGGGTGGGAAATGCAACAGCTACTGGGAAATTTCAAAATAAAAATCGATACCAATTAAATTACATTAATTGAGGGATCAGTAGGTTAAATCTTTTTTAATATTTACATAAAATTGTAATTTAAGACTCTCCAACTCTGATTAAACCATTATTCTAATCTTCTTCAATGTAAATGTGCTTACGTAGCCTTCCAATAATAATAGACAGTAAAATAATAAATGTAATAAAAATAATAATAGAGTGAAATAATGGAAATATAATAATAGTAATAATAGAGTAAAATAATAGTAATAATAATAATAATAATAATAATAATAAATATAGAAAATGAACACATCAAACTACTCTGGGACTTCTGAATTCAGACAGATAGAGTTTTAGAGCACAATACTCCTGACCTCACGATCGCATTTTTAAAGTATGGATCGATGTTGCAATCCCAAACGACAGCAGAATTGAAGAGAAACAACTGGAAAAGCTGACACGATATGAGGATTTAAAGATCAAACTGCAAAGACTCTGGCACAAGCCAGTCAAGGTGGTCCCAGTGGTGATCGGCACACTGGGTGCAGTGCCTAAAGACCTTGGCCTGCACTTAAAAACAATCGGCACTGACAAGATTACCATCTGACAGCTGCAAAAGGCCACCTTAGTGGGATCTGCACACATTATTCGCCGATACATCACACAGTCCTAGGTACTTGGGAAGTGTCCGATGTGTGATCCAATACAACAGCCAGCAGTGTGATCTTGTTTGCTGTGGATTTATCTTGTTGTGTTTCAAATAATAGAGTAAAATAATAAATGTAATAATAATAATAATAATAATAATAATAATAGTACCAGTAATAAATAGAGTAAAATAATAAATGTAATAATAAGAATACTAAATAGAGTAAAATAATGTAAATGTAACAAGGATAATAAATAGAGTAAAATAATACATATAATACAAATAATAATAATAATAATAATAATAATAATAATAATAATAGAGTAAAATATTAAATAACTTTGACTCAAGTATAAGCTGAGGTGAGCTTTTTCAGCCTTAAAAAAGGGCTAAAACATGGCTTATACTCAAATATATATGGTAATTTTATGCAGGAATAACCAGTTCATTTAGGTACCCATCCAATCCTTCCACTTTCTTTAGAACCTTCAATACAGCTTACAGTGATTACTTATAGCAGTAAAACTAACTCTCAAAAATATAAAATCCACTTTAAAATAATTGTTTTTGTTCTCTTGGCTACAGTGAGCTATTAGAGGCCCAGGGAAATAAAATAATTTCACTTGGTGTGCCCAGGCTGACACAATCATTTCCTGGCAGATCTTACTGGGAAGACATTGACAGACTGGGGCACCATGACATGTTGGATAAATGATCTAGGAACTGTACTCCAAAAGATTAATTTATCAGGCTCTCTGAACATTTTCTTGGTTAGAGCCCTTTGAAGTAGGTTGACGACAATTACTTGAGTGGGTTTTCCATCCTCTTAATGTAAAAAAAGTAAGAAGAAACCACACCAGCCCCTGATTCATGCGGAAGTCTTTCTAGTCCAGAACTCTCTTACTAACAATGACTATCCAGATGCCACCAGGAATCCCATATATAGGACCTGAAGGCAACTGTCCTCCCTTTTCTTTCTCATCATAGAGTTGGAAGAGACCACAAGGACCATCCAGGCTAACCTCAGCCGTGCAGGAATACACAATCAAAGCCATCCCCACAGATGGCCATCCACTCTCAGTTCTAAATCCTCCAGAAATGGCAACTACATCACACTCCAAGGCAGCATATTTCCTTGTCCCTCACAGCATTCAGAAAACACGGCATCTGAAGCTGGAAATTTAATATCTCTTAATCATTTCTATTAACAGTGAGGTCAGGTAGTGAATGCCAATTATTATAGCATGGCCACTAGCGAAAACTGGTGGCACAGGAGACCCAAGATTCAATTAAATATTGCAAATCCTGGTGAGGAAGGAGGAATGTGGAATGGAGTTGGGAACAAAATGTGTCTAAAGGAGGAATAGCTTGATCATTAACCACAAAATGTTGCATGTTGCCAGAATGAGGGGTGGTGGTAGAAATACACATGTTGGATGGAATATTTGGAGCGAGCACCATGCACTATCATGGTGTTCATTACATAACTATGTATATACATTACATAACTATGCATATGTATATATCTATATACATAAAAATGTAATTTGTTTGTGAGATTAACATAACTCAAAAACCACTGGATGAATTGACACCAAATTTGGACACAATACACCTATCAGGCCAACAAGTGACCATTTATATAAATAAAAATCTAATGTTAGTTTATGGGATTACCGTAACTAAAAAACCACTCAACGAATTCAAATTAAATTTGGACACAATACACCTATGAGGCCAATGAGTGACCATCACTCATAAAAACACTAAAAAACACAGCAGAAGAGGTTAAAAAATCCAAAAAATAAAAAAATACTTTACAGTGCATGTGCAAAATCACATATATATATGCAAACACATATATTCACATATACACAAATATATAAACACTTATATACGCATACACATGCACAAAACACATATATACAGACCGGGCCACAGCAAGGAGTGGCAGGGGACGGCTAGTCACTCATAGAAGCACTGAAAAACACAGCAAAAGAGACTTAAAAAGCCAAAAAACAAAAATACATTACAACACATGCGCAAAACCACATATATACACAAACACACACATATATATATACACATACAAAACACATATACACAGACTGGGCCACAGCAACGCATGATAGGGGATGGCTAGTGTGTGTGTGTGTGTATATATATGTGTGTGTGTGTGGACACGTATGTATATATGTATATGTCCCCTGCCATGTGTTGCTGTGGCCCATTATTGTACATTTGTCACTTCTCTGTCTCCCCTATATAATAACGTAACAGCAGCCCTTCTGTGGATACAGATGTTGTGGAATTGCCCAATCCTAATTCATGTAGACATTAATCCACTAATGAAGACAAAAGCCCCTACAGAATCTTTTTTAAACAGATACCATGTGATCATTAATACATAGATGCTTTGCCGTTCATGAAATTGGTTTGGTTTCTAAGGTTGCAGTTGGCATACTTTGTGGATAGTGAGTTCCTTATATTAATAGGATGTCTTGTAGTGCAGACCTGTCTATTAGTTTGCCCTGAACTTGCTGCTGTTCCATTCCAATACTATCTGAGAGGAAAGCCTTTAAGATTTTCTCTTTCCACATTATGTTATGACATTCCTGGTGAGGCATTCTCATTATATGCATCAGGGAGCATGGGCATCTATGCCACTGTTTTCCTTCTACTTTTACACTCAATTTGCCCATTTCCTCCTGCAGGAGTAGAGGACTTTTCTCTAACTTCTGAATTTTGTAGAATTACCAACAGATGGCACTATGTCTGCATGTAGGCTTCCAAAGAATAAGCACAATTCTGCAAAATCTTTTTTGTCTATTCTTTATTTCTGAATCCCACAATTATCACCTCCTCTTTTGCGTTCCAATGCAATTACTTTTTTTTCAAGGATCGTTATGTAACAGGGATCTATGTTTAATGAACCCAGAACTAAATCAGTTGCAAACTTTAAATTCTGGTCTCCCTGGGCTTCCAAGGGAATTTTGAAGAGTTCCTTTTTTTAGTTGGGAAGATATAATGTAGTGTTCTGTTTCTTCTGTGGTGTGAAAGGTATAAAAAAAATCCCTTTTTTAAATGGTTGAGATGTTACACTTGTTTCCTGCCTATTGATAGTTAAAATTTTTACATCAATTATTTTGCTGTATTGGAGCCCCTGGTGGCACAGTGGTTTAAACTGCTGACCTGCTGAACTTGTTGACTGAAAGGTCACCGGTTCAAATCCGGGGAGCAGGATGAGCCCCTGCTGTTAGCCACAGCTTCTGCCAACCTAGCAGTTTGAAAACATGCAAATGTGAGTAGATCAGTAGGGGGAAGGTAATGGCACTCCATGCAGTCATGCTGGCCACATGACCTTGGAGGTGTCTATGGATAACGCTGGCTCTTCGTCTTAGAGATGGAGATGAGCATCAACTGGATTTTATGTCAGGGAGAAACCTTTACCTTTACCTATTGGTAAAAAAAGAATATGTAGCCTTATCAGAGGTCTGAGCAAACTGTCCATGTGTTTCTGTCTTTTCCAACGATATATCTAGTCCAGTGGGAATGACATGTCTAAGAGCAAGAAAGCATTTTTGTTGGTGGGTGGAACTTATGACCCTCTGAGCACCTCCGAAATCTTTGTGGGATGTTGAGTACATAAGCATTAATCCTTCCTCACACAGAAGGGGGTGATATCCTACATTTGTACCTGTAAAATAAAAATGGACAGATAAAACACCTGGAGCACAGTATTTTCAAGGTACTCTCCCTTTTTCTTGTGAGTGAGAAGTGAGTAAACAGAGGTCAACAGGGATAGAGGGGTTGCTTCTCTGGATTAGGTTTGTAATCTTCCTGCTATTTGAACTTGTACTTACGGCTTGCCTGTACCACAGTTGCTTGAGATATTCAGCTTTCATCGTTCTGTGTGTTTTCTTCAGTTTCTGTTACCTGGAAGAAAATTGATCCCAAAGGGAAAGGGCCATGTCCTCGCCGCAGGCAGTGCTGTTGTAGAGTCGGGGACAAGATCATCCTTTTTGGAGGCACCAGGTGAGTGGTGTATCATCTCATTGGCTTTGGTAAACATTCTTCTTTTTGAAAATTCTTAAGCAGTAGCAGTGCTCCTTCTAGAGCATTGGTTCCCAACCTGTGGTCCGTGAACTACCAGTGGTCCGCAAGAACTAAAATATGATCTGCGGCCTCACTGTTACTACACCATTGCAACAAGAGCAACTGGTCTTGCAAAACCCTCTTATAATGCCAAGGCTTCTCTCATTTCTGCAATATCTTCACAGAAGAAGAGAGAGCATCTTTAAAACGATGTTATTAAGAGTCTACATATATTTTCCCCTAAAATTTGACAATGGAGCCCAAACATTTTGAAGTTCAATTAATCTACCTGGTGTGACATCGGATCTTCGCCCCAGGGCTGAGAGCGGCGGTCAACAAATGAAGTGAATAAATAAATAAATAAATTGATCCCAAATGTAGTAAAGTAATTTGCGGCCACAAAAAACAGCTTTTTCAGTGACTTTATCTTAATTGTGAAATGTCTTGTTTCACCAGCCAGATTGTTTGGCAAAGACTTAGCTTAGACTGGTACTTTTGCTAATACTTTATTTGTAGCATCTCTATGTATTTAGACCAGTGGTTCCCAATCTGTGGCATCTGAAAGCAGGGGTGTCTTGGTGTCTATTTTTATGCCTGTTCTTCGGGTTATTTGGGGTGCTGATTCAGAAAATTGCATTGGATAGACCACATCAGCTCTAGATTATTAAATATGGTTTTCTGTGGGTGAGCAGATGGTAACTACTGGATGGCATATGTTCTATATCAGAAACTAGAATGATGTGGTCTGTCCAATGCAGTTTTCTGAATCAGCACCCCAAATATTCAAATCAAATCTAAAGTAGACCAAAAACTCATTTGTAACCCTTTTGGTACTAATGTTGGAGAGTTGTGCCTGGTCAAAGTGGTCCCTGGACAAAGTGATCCCTAGTCAAGTTGGCCCTGGTCAAGTAGTCCCTGGACAAAGTGGCCCCTGGTCAAAGTGGTCCCTGGTCAAGTGGTCCCTGGACAAAAAAAGGTTGGGAACTACTGTTTTAGAGTGCCAAGAGCAAGCCTGAATGCAGACATACCACTGACCTTTGTAAAAGCTGTCTTCCGTATCTCCAGTGTATAAGGCTAAATCTGAGACCTCTGGTCTCTCTTGCAAGCCAAACTCCGTAGCCATTATTTACCTACTTTATTCTAAACCAGTCTTCCACAACCTGATGTCCTCCAAATTTCTGAACGACATTCTTTGGGCATTCTTTCTGGGGATTTTGTAGGGAATTGTAGACTAAAGTAACTGGAGAGCAGCAGATTCTGGAAAGCCCTCCTAAACCATTCCTTGATGTTGCAGGGTTGACCCACTAAGCCACTTGCAGCAATCAATACTTTATGAAATGTGGTTGTTCATGTACGGTACCTATGGTGCCTGGTGGATAATACTTATGTTTTAGTTTACTATGTATTGTTTTGTTTTATTTTCTCATCAAATTGCTTAATTTTTTATTGTAAGCTCACTGTTATTACTGTTGCTATATTGTGTATTATTTTGATGTTTGTACTCATCTGAGGTATGGAATGCTTGCCTTTTTTGTATGTGTAAACCACCGCGAGTCCCTTTAGGGAAAGAGGGCAGTCTAGAAATACAGTATTATTATTATTAATGCTGAAATCTCAGTGATGCTGCTGAAGAAATAAATCATCATCCACATATTCACAGAGTAGTGCGGGCCACTCATCCTTTGCCCACACTACTGTGTAAATATGTGGAATGTGATCCAAGCCAGGGTAGGAAACTGCAGTGGGGCAAGGACTCCCCTTCCACCACCCCTGAACCTCAGACCCACTGTAGGCTGTTATGTCCCTTTCTGACAAAAGAGTTCAAATGGTGAAAGGGCTTGTTTTTTATGGCTTTTGGAGGTTCAGCTTTGAATGTGTGTATATATGTATGAGAGAGAAAAAGAGAGAAAAGGGGGGAAACAGAAAGAGCCCTGTTTTGTGGGCACTACATGCCACATTGTTTTCCATACTATGGCCTTAGCTCAGTACTATCGCAGATGTCTTCCTAAAAATGGACTGCAGTTCTACATAAAAAGGCAAGAAGCAAAATGCAGCACAACATAAAGAAGTCAGAAGGTTGTCCCCTCCTTCCCACATGCTGTTTCTGTAGTTCTTTTTTAGTCCTTGGTTTAGAAAGATGCAGTGGGGTTAAGTAGAAGCACATGGCAAACCTTGTTCCAAGTCTCTGGTTCTGATTGATCACTCATTAGACTATTTTCATTTGGCCTTGAATCTTACTCTTTGGGTAATGTCACTTTTGGAAAAAATGAGAAAATCGTGCAGGAATCCTTCTTAGCACAAATGTGCCAAGAAGATAAAGGTATGCATGGAAAGGAAGCCATTGTTCCTCTGTTTTTAAAAAACTGCTTGGGCTCCAGGGTGTTCATATATAACATAAACATTGGAATCTGTATCCTTTGAATGGGACAATATCTATTTCCTGTGTTGACATTTTTCTCCTTTTGGTGAATGTTACTGCCTGCCTGGGGCTTTCTGCATAATGTGTAGAACATCCTCCATCCACACTCCATCCTTTCAAAGACATCCCCTGAGTCTCGTCCAACAGTTGTTTGATGTTCCATCCCGCAGGAGATGGAGGTGGGCGTGTGATGAGTACAATGTTTTACATACAGATACACAGGCTTTTTGTCTTTTAAAAGTCCTGGTAAGATATAGCTTCCAAAGCAGGAGTAAGTGGAGAACACCCATTTCAACTTTCAGGCGAGTAGTCCAACTCTTCCAGGGGTGGAAATCATATCGCCATCCATTGATGTCAGAGAGTAATTCCAAGAATTCCTCATCATGGTTTGCACTGGCTATGGCTGCCAGAATGTGCAGTCCAACAACTGAAGGGGTGTAGAATTCCTATCTCAAAACTATACAGTTATTTTGACTTACAGTTATTAATGACTTAGATGAAGAGTTAGAAGGCATGATCATCAAATTTGCAGGTGACACCAAATTGGGAGGGATAGCTAATGCCTCAGAAGACAGGAGCAGAATTCAAAATAATCTTAACAGATTAGAGAGATGGGCCGAAAATAGCAAAATGAAGTTCAACAGAGACAAATGCAAGGTGCTCCACTTAGGCAGAAAAAATAAAATGCAAAGATACAGAATGGGGGACGCATGGCTCGACAGCAGTATGTGTGAAGAAGATCTTGGAGTCCTCGTGGATAGCAAGTTAAACATGAGCCAGCAGCAAAAAAAGCCAATGGGATTTTGGCCTTCATAAATAGGAGTATAGTGTCTAGATCCAGGGAAGTCATGCTACTCCTCTATTCTGCCTTAGTCAGACCACACCTGGAATCATACTGTGTCCAATTCTGGGCACCGCAATTGAAGGTAGATGTTGACAAGCTGGAATGTGTCCAGAGGAGGGCGACTCAAATAATCAAGAGTCTGGAGAACAAACCTTATGAGGAGCGGCTTAAAAAGCTGTGCATGTTTAGCTTGAAGATGAGAAAGCTGAGAGGAGACATGATGGCCATATATAAAGATGTGAGGGAAGTCATAGGGAGGAGGGAGCAAGCTTGTTTTCTGCTTCCCTGGAGACTAGGACACGAAACAATGGCTTCAAACTACAGGAAAGGAGATTCTACCTGAACATGAGGAAGAACTTCCTAATGGTGAGAGCTGTTCAGCAGTGGAACTCTCTGCCCTGAAGTGTGGTGAAGGCTCCTCCTTTGGAGGCTTTTAAGCAGAGGCTAGATGGCCATCTGTCAGAGGTGGTTTTAATGTGATTTCCCTGCTTCTTGGCAGGGGGTTGGGCTGGGTGGCCCACGAGGCCTCCTCCAACTCCATGATTCGATGAACACCTGCAAAGGAAATAGTACACCAAAGGCAATAGCTCTTCTGCATCACCATTCACTGTTATTGTGTTCTTTTTAGCATCATATAAAACAGTCAGTGGATACTTCTGACTCACCTCTCCCCCCAAAAAATGAATACAATTCCTGTGAAAGATTGTAATGTAGGTGAGTTAAAGAAATGGTGTGAATCCAATTTCCTCATTTGCAAAACAATTGTACATTTGTTGCACTCTTAACAATCCAGAAAGGAACAGAGACAGGAAACCATTTGGGATTCATGACTCTGACAATAGCTGCAAAGCTGCAAATTCTAGATGAGTGATGGAATTACCTTTGTCTTTATAACAAAGTTAGTTTTAATTGAGCTGAGTCTTAACTGTAAGAGTTGTCAAACATAGGCAGTGTTTTGAGCAGAATGGAGGTCAGCTGGAAGTGGTCAAGATATTTACCAGCTGTCAAAACCCAGGAAGTATGTGAGTGTAGTGGAATCTTTGCCATCTGAGATTTTTCCGATGATGGTGAACATACTAATGCATGTAAGCTGGTGACTTGATTATAAATTACATTATTTTCTTACCTGTTTATTTTGAAAGTTTTAAGATATGTTAAACAGCCTAGTACACAAAAAATAAGAATAGCAGAAATGAGATCCGACTAAAGCAACTCTCAGAATGTCTTAGCCAGCAGCAGTTTGCTACCAAATACTGTGCCAATATGGACAATTCTTACAGTCGTCACCATTTATTAATTCATATTAATAATTAGCAGGGAACTGTGGCTTAATGGGATGTAGAATCTCATCACCAAAGTCAGCATGCAACAGCAGAAGGGAGGAGAAAAAGGAGTGGATGGCTTAGTCATAAGAACAGAGATACTGTCTTGCCTAGTTCACAGTTTGCAAACCAAGAAAAATACATAGGATATAGGATGCTAAGTGAGTGTTGGTGAGGATACAGTAGTCCTTTGAATAGGAGACACTTGGGAGTCAATGTATGAAATGACATCAACAAATGTTTTATGTGTTATTGAAAACTTTCATGGTTGGAATCCTTGGGTTGCTGTACGTTTTCTGGGCTGTATGGCCATGTTCCAGAAGCATTCTCTCCTGATGTTTCGCCCACAGCATAT